GGTAATAGTAGGATAAGGGACTATCAGTATTGGCCAACAGTGGGTTTCCAGTCACCACATTTTTAAACTTTCTTTCCTTCCTCTTCGCCTGGTCAGAGTTTTTTGGGTTTTAGTTTGCTGTGGAATCAATTTCTCCCTTGGCTGTCTTCTGGGTCATAACTCACAAGTTTGAACTGTCTGCTTCTGAATTACAATCTAAATGAGACTTGCAGCTTTCCTATGGCTAAGTCCCACTTTCCTATACTGAACCCCTGACAACCAATGATTCTTAAGAGCTGTCTATCTTTTGACAGGCAATTTTTTTTTTTCTGATTGAAAAAAGTCTGTTGCCATTCTATAATTATTTTAGTTGTAATTATCCCAACTTGCCCCTCATTTTAGGCATAGGTTTGCCCTCAAAGTAGGAGTGTCAACAAACCATTAATAAACTTTGCTGTTCCATAGTGGCTTACGGAAAAAGATGGGGAATGCTCCCAGCTCTTCCTGAAATACATTCAAAACAATATTGACTGAGTGTGAGCAAAGTATGCTTGCTTCTCTGGCTCTCAGGAAGTTTATGTCTGACTTTAATTCCAAATGAGCACGCGCCATCAAACCCAGACATTCCAATCCACGGCACAGGTTCCAGTGGTTGGAGGGAACTAGAAGCAGTTTGGCCCTTGGTTGCTGTTTTTCAGTTGCTAGAGATTCTCTTATTCCGCTTAACCTCTCTTTCCTAGATATACATACTAACTAGAATTTCCCTTTTCCTGTAGGCAAAAGTAAGAATAACTACCATTCGAGCAGTGCTCTAAGCGTGGGAGTAAGAACAGGAAGCCTCTTGGCATAGACCACAGTCTGAAGTTAGGTTTCTGCCCTCCCTTCTCCCTGGCCATACAAGTAATGCTCTCCTAATCATGAGTACTCAGATTGATGGCTTGAGTAGGTATAAATACGTGTTAGGTACTCAGTCAGCAGCTAGTGCACTTTAGTGATTAACTCCATTTTTAGGAAAAGCAAAACTGAAAATAGAAAATAACATATCATAGGGGTATTTGCTGAACCAATGTGTCTTTTTTGATAGTGTTTCTGTACTAGTAAATCAGAGAAGGACATAGAGTGCAGCAGGATTCCAACAAGGCTTTCACAGAGTTACTAGTAAGTTTTTAGAAGAAATAGAGAAATGTGGGCAGAATGACAGCACATTCTTTTCTAGTTGAACAACCCTGCTCCAAGAGGTCCAACAGATAATTGTTGTTCATTCCGGACACTGTCCTGTAAGGGCTTGTCACATAGCCTAGTCCTGGTTGCCATTTTTTTCTTGGAGATGGGAACTTAATGTTACGGTTTCTTAAAGCTCCAGAGGTGATCCTACAATGCAACCCAGGAGGAGAACCACTGGAATGGGATCTGTGATTCAAATACTATACTAAATACTGTTGTAGCACTGTTATTAACTGTCTTCTAGTGATCCAATGTTTGATGCACCTTCAGATGTTTAAAGCAAGGACACTTAGAGTTCATTTCAACTTAGATAAATGTTAGGAAAATTACAAACAATGGGTTCCAAAGGCTCCAGTACAGACTTCAAAGAGGATGCCACTGAGACATTTCATAAATGACAAACTTCACCAAAGTGTTGATAAAAACGCCCCACTATGTGTGGAAGCAAAATTAATAAAAAGGCACTGCCTTGGTGCTGAGAAACAAAATGAACCAAAATTTTGCTTTACTTAAATGATTGAGCCTCCCTATTTGGAATTAGGTCATTATAATAAACGGTTTTAAAAATCTATACCTTCAATTATCAACAAAGCTGCGATTAGCAGAGCACCAATATTTGATTTACAGATTCAAAGGGGAACTTTAGTTTTTAACCTAGTCACTTTGGCAAATAGAAGGAACAAGGCACTTTATTATTGGAGGCTCTACTAAAAATGTCCATGGGTCACAGAACAACATGTCCAAGACCAATTATGTTGAGTGCAAAGACTTTAGGCAGTGGGGGATGGTAAGGAGCTTGTCTCCTCTCTGTCTCTGGAACCATACCAGCCTCATAACATCATTACAGTTAATAATTCTCGACCCTTAAAAGGAATTTCTTGAGCAAATTAGGTCAATTAGTACAGAGCAATTTACATTTAGAAAATTCCCAACCACTTTTTACCTGGGGGGACAAACTACCTAATTCTTTGCATCAACAATATGTTAACAGGCAATATTCATAGTTTGTTCAGTTGGAACTCACACAACAAAGACAAAAAACTTGCAGTGAAATGTAAACAACTTTGAAATGTATAATCCCAGACTTAACCTTGAACCTCTCTTCAGTGTTGTATGTTCACATTAACTACATAGAGCTGCGCAAAACCCTTCACTCCTTGAGGGGAAAGGGATGTAACCAGTGTGAAAGGGAAGTTGTTAGGAGAGTGGTAAATGCAACCTCCCTTCATGATTGGTTAAAAATCACGTGGAACATCCTTTCTTTTTCTTCTTACTTTTCATTCACACACACCTACATATATATATATATATATACACATAACAACAGTTCTTACATTTTTATATACACACACAATTCAGTGAGCTAAACATTGTGATAGATTTAAACACATTATTATTTAGATTCCAAGTCAATTCTGCAAGGTAGACAGTAGCCCAATTTTACAGATAAGAAACAGGTTTGGAAAGGTGTTACATGAAGCTAGGACACACTCAGATCTGCCTGACCGTTAGACCACATTGTTTTATACAAGCTGCCCTCTACCACCATCTTCCTTCTGCTTCTTTCACTTCCTTCCTTTCACTTTTCACTACAAAACCTAAAATGGTGGACAAGTAGCATTGGAAGCAAGCTCCAAACAGGCTCATGTTATATCTTTTTATCTCCAACCTCCTCATCGTTTCAGTTAACTACAGTTTTTGAATTCCAAATAAGGGTGTATACTCTGAGACTTTGTGTTTTCTTTATGAGAACATGAGGGCAGCATATTTGCAATCAAGACTAAAAAGGAACTCCTGGTGCCTAGGATAGAGAGGCTCAGAAGAGAGCTGGCTCAACAGGGACTTGTTGATTAATTGGAGGCTGATTACACCCCAGAGTAAAGAGCAAAGTTAGAATAAATCTTTATCAGTGGAATTCAACAGGGTGGTCTTTTTGACAGGTCTTTTTGTTATAGCCTTTAATGTAGGCTTCCTGAACCTTGTGGCTTGTTAATCTGCAAGTACTTGTTTAGATATAAGGCTGTGGATTCTAAGAGACAAGCTGTTAATTATGAGTTCTAATCCCAGGCTGGAAGATGCCTATTAAGATTAAAACTTGTTTCCTTTTTGCCAACAATTAGCAGCCTTGCTAAAGAGCGATCAATTGTAATTGGGGAACTGAAGAAGGTAATAAATGCATTACTGAGACCAGTTGCTTTACAGAGCCATTTATTTAATCCTTAAATTTTGCAGGTTGTAAATTACTCATTATGAGGCAGAACGCAAAATACCATAATCCGTTTAGTGCCTCCAAGCTCTGCAAACTCAGAGGAGGAAATCTATGGAAACAAGAGGCCTGATATGTTCTTTCACTGCTGTTCCTTAATGGGCCACGGTGGTTAAACAATAAGGAAAAGCCTGTGTAATTATCCTGATGCGCTGCTCCATAGGTCAGGGGTGGACTTGATTAAATGCATCAAGGACTGACCTACAAAGGGTGGGAAAATGCCCCTTCTTTTCCACTCAGCCCTGCAGGCAGCTAATCATCGTGCACATCTCACTTCCAGATTGCTTCATGAGACCAGAGCAATAGCCCATAGCATTCATTAGGAAATTCACTCATATCTGTTGTTTTCCAGTCAGTGCAAGGACTAGGATAACAGGCCAAATACCAGAGAGGAATTAGAGGAAGGCCGGGAGGAGGCATCCCCCTCTCCACACATAGGGAATGCAGCTCCTAATTACAGAATGTCCAACCGCAAAAACAACTAGACAATTAGTTTGTAGGCTCATTTACATGTATAGAAAGCCCCATCTATTTGCTTGAATATGGATTTTACAAGCTTAGTGGGGAAACAGATAGCCCTTTAAGGACAACAGTTTTTGTATGTCAAAGGTAAAATTCAGTTTTAAACTCAGTGGTAACAACACAGACAATACGCAAAATGCCAGCTCTATGCATGATTTTTGAGAATCTGTGTGTATATGTCTTTTTTCAACAATGAGATGATTTTATATATACAAAACCCAGCTTCTGGCTTGCCCTTAGGCTATATACAACAAAATAGCTGCTAGTTTGCTTTTACACTGAGCAAATATTTCTTTTACACACCTTTGTTTTACGCCTCATGACCAACAGCATGTCTTTGCATAAAGAGAGTGCAGGTAGGCAATGAAATGGAGCCCATCTCTTTGCAGAGTTAACAGGATCAGGTGAGGAACAAACCTCTGATTTTGCAGTAACAAACTGAGCTACCCAACTCTAACTATTTCCATTCATTTTCCACTTGACAGTCTTCTAATTAAGTTTGTGATTTCACTAGGCTGGCACTATGTCTATCTCTGTGTTCCATTCAATACCCACCAAGCTGTTGTTGCTCAATAAATCATTACTGATAATGAAGGAAAATCTAATTTTAAAAAATTATAGCTGTTCTGAAAATGCATTTATTTACTTTGTTAAAATAATTATAAGGCAACTGTTTCCTAGATAGATCATTTAACCATGGCATGTGATTTTTAAAAACGATCTTTTTCTTCCAACATCTAGCTTACACTAGAGAGCTATATTAAAGAAATTTAAGGACCCTTGTGATTAGAAATACCTATATCAAAGAACTTTAGAAAACTATTGAGACATTATAAGATAAACTTTAAAAAGATCATGGCAATTTTGAAAATTTTAACTTGGCTTGGTGTTTCTATATTACTTATCTGAGAAAAGAAACTATTTTGGTCACTTTTGGTGGAAGCAAGCAATGACATTTTGTCTTTCTACTTTCCTGGGGATAAAGTACCTGAGTTCCCTTTTTACTTACCCTGAGTGGATTTTCATTAAGGTAAGGGGGTTCACCTTCCACCATTTCAATTGCCATAATTCCCAGAGACCAGATATCAACTTTCGGACCATATGCTTTTCGAGTTACCACCTCAGGTGCCATCCAATAGGGGGTTCCCACCATAGTGCTCCGTTTACTTTGCTCAGGAGTGATCTGGGCACAGAACCCAAAATCAGCTGCAGAGAAGAAAAATCAGTTAAAATAGACCCAAATTATTTTCCTTATATAATAGGTCACTTTGAGATTTGTCTGTACCTTCCTTAGTCAGATACTGAGCTTCCACAACTTCTTGGCTCACATCCTTTTCTTACTTGATCTCTCAGCTGCCTCTGATTTTAAAAAGTTCTGAACTAACTAATATGATGTGTGTTTTTACTAGTCTTCAGTCTAGTTCCCTCTCCCCACCCATTACTGTACTGTCAAACTTACAGAATCTTTCAATTAGGTATTTCCCATTCATCTATATTAGAAGTCATTAGAAATTCTGAAATATTAAGTCTAAGAAATCTGGTCATAATCTACAAAAACACAGTGCTAGACAAATTCTTCTGTTCAAACTGGGCTCTAACTGCTCTCAAATAATGTCCTTTCAGTAGCCATTATTTTCTCAATACAGACAGTAGAAGAGCATAAATTCTCTGATTCTCCATCAAACATCATCTGAACCAAAATACCTACTCAGTTTAACAGAGCCATCCATCCCGAGGAGGATATTGTCACTCTTTATGTCTCTATGGATCACTTGGTTTGAGTGTAAGAAATCCAAAGCTTGGAGGCACTATTGAATCAGGAAAGAAAGTTCTAATTATATCATAAATAACTTTTTTTAATTCCACATCTCATTACTAGATAAATTTTGGGAAAGGGAATACTTTTACATTGTGAAATGAAGTAGATTACCAAAAGATTTAAAACCAACTTTGAAACCACCTTACCATTTTATATCAGTGATGCTGCTTAGCATTATCCTTGTACATATGATGGCTGCCATGACAGACTAGGTCATGAAGAGTGATGATGCGGCAAGTAGCACTAATCGCTAATACAGTCAAACTAACCAATTAATGAAATCATACTTTAGCCCAGTTATCTGGAAACTATGGATCAACGTTGATCTTATATAGATATAGCAAGCTTCAAGTACATGGTCTGATTTGATTGGAGTGAGACTCAGGAATTCACATTTAAAAGAAGTTTCCCAAGCTATTTCTGATGGACAGCTAAACTTTGGAACTGCTTGTAGGTTGTGAGGCAACTATGGCTACCTGTTTGGAAATGCTTTTACACTGTAATACTGGAAGATGGGAACCAGGCTCAGAAGAGAATATTTCCCTGAATGACTCTAAGTGTGATTTACTGCACAAAAAGAAAACCTGACTTTGGTGGATACGTGCATGTGTTTGGGGTAGGAGGAATAGGAATATGGATAAGAAGAGAAATGGAATGAGGAAATTTAAGTGACCAATTTAACATAAGAAAAGGAAAGTTTACCTGTATCATTTAGTTTTATTTTGTTATTATCAGTTTTCAAGTTTCAGTGAGTGAGAATTTCTTCTTTCAACTACAGAAAACCATCCATAATGAATGGGGAACATGACAATGTCCATAATAGATTCCAATGAAGAATATGTGTTTTTTTTTAAAATATTGAACAAAGTAAAAATAATAGAATGTCATTAATTTAGTTTGAAGCTAGAGGGACGGTAGTGTTCTTGGAAAATAAATAGATCCTCAGTCCATCGGGAGGCTACAGGGATATTCAGATCATTTTGGGCAAGTAACTGCTTTCTGAGCTGAAGAAGGATCTTGTTTAAATTGTCTTCTGGAAAATGGTGGGAATATAAAATGGTCTGTATTTGACATGACTCACAGGCTATATTTGACATGACACACAGGATAAGATAACTATTATATAAGCATTTCCCCAGATCAAAAAGAAATTCCATGTCAACAACCCATATTCACTGAGACTACATACAGTATATGGACTTGGATATGGCATCTTGGAGATAGCATGATGAATTCAAAAGATCCATAGAAAAGCAACTAAAAAGGGGGGCTAAGGAGGGTTGTGTAGGGACATGTGAATTGGTTAGTATTTGAACTGAGTTTACACTCTCTGATTGTTTTTCCAGTAGAAAAGTTGTGCTGTTGTTACTTTGACGTTATAATGATTGTGAACATAAAGAACCTCCAATTCTGGTGTTCCTGTAAACTAGAAAAATGTTCTTACCTCTCTGCAGACAGCTGCTATCTGTCCTTCATCCATACAGGTCTCTGTGACCACATCAGTCAAAGAGCCACCAGCCAGGTATTCCATCACTACCCATAGTTCATCACCTACTAAGTAGCTATAAGAAGAAAAGAAAAAGACTTTGACTTGGGATTAAGGAAGCAGGGGCTCTAATACTTCCAGGTCTCAGTTCTGATAAGGTCAACTGTGAGTTGTGCTGTGCCAACTATCTCTGAGTAGTTATTCATGACATACCCCCAAGTGATCAACTATGGGGTAGAAGGTCAACAGAGCCCTACAATTTGGGTAAGGAGAGCATGAAGTTATTGAATTCACCTAAGATCATAGGAAGACACTTTAGCAGTATTATTTATTTATTATTTAGAAGTTATGTTTATCTTCCTACTCAGCAAGAGACAGGAATTACAGAGAATGGGAATGATCCCAAGGATCCCACCCTGCTCTAAGGCCCACATCAGTATAAATAAGGCTTTATATATCCAGAGGTGCTCACACTGCAGTGCCCATACCAGTCACCTGGGAAGTTGGTTAAAAATGAAAATTTACTTAGGCTGATACCATATTTTGGTTATTGTGCAGAGTGCTGTAATGAACATCAGAGTACATGTATCTCTTTCATTCTATTTTTAATTCTACTGAGAAGTATAATAGCTGGGCCCATATGGTAGATCTATTTTTAGTTTTTTTTTTTCTTTGAGGAACATCCATACTATTCTCCATAATGGCTGCACTAATTTGCATTCCCACTATGTGTGTAGGGTTACCTTTTGTCTACATCCTCACTAGCATTTTTTGGTCTTTTTAATTTGGGGGGCACGTCCATCTGGAAGTTCACTCCCCATATGTCCCCAATGGTTTAGGGGCTGAAGCCTGGGAACAGAGAACACAATCCAGGTTTCCCATGAGGGTGGTAGCAACCTAATTACCCAAACCATCACTGCTGCCACCCAGGGTCTGCATTAGCAGGAAGCTTGAATCAGGAGCAAGAGCCAGGAGTCAAACCCAGGCACTCTTAAATAGGATGTGCGAATCTTAACTACTGTCTTAACTGCTGAGTCAAATGCCCACACTTTTATCTCTTTAATAATAGCCATTCTAACTGGAGCAAGATGAAATCTCATTCTGGTTTTGATCTGCATCTCCCTGATAGCTAGTATTGAGCATTTTTTCATATATTTTATGGCCATTTCTATTTCTTCTTTTGAGAAATGTCCATTCAGATCATTGTCCCATTTCTTAAGTGGACTGGGTGTTTTTCAGTTGTTGTCATCCACCAATGAATTAATGGGTGAAGACAATGTGGGATATAAGTACAATGGAATATTATTCAACTATAAAATAATGAAGTCTTGACTTTTACAGCAAAATGGATGGAAATGAAAGGCACTGTGTTAGGTGAAATGAGCCAGACAAAGAAAATACTACACGTTCTGTCTCTTGTGTGGATTTTTTAGAGTTGATGTGAACTTGGAATACTGATAACTAAGGCTTCCAAAACCTAGGCAGCTCATGAGAAGAGCCTTGGATGATCACTGACGTCATAAAGAAGAGTGTCAATTGTTAACAACAGGAGTCACCGTGCACTTACTCTCCATGTAGAATCTCTGTCCTTAATGTGTTGTACTATGTGAATTAATGGTATAACTAGTACTCAAATAGTACTTTACATTTTGTGTTTCTGTGTGAGTGCAAACTGTTGAAATCTTTACTTAGTATTGAGTTGTTCTTCTGTATATAAAGATAATTAAGAATGAATCTTAATGAAGAATGGGATGGGAGAGGGTGTAGGAGGTGAGACAGGAATGGAGGTGGGAGGGCAGGTATGCAGGGAGGAACCACTATATTCCCAAAGCTCTACCTATGAAATTTGTATTTCTTAAATAAAAGCTAAAAACACAGAAATAAATAAAATAATAAAGAAAAGACCTACAAAAAAGGTACTGATAACTAGAGGCTGGAGAGGGTAGAGAGGGAAGAGAGAAAAAGTGTATAACAGGTACCAAAACACAGTTAGATAGAACAAATAGCTCCTAGTGTTCCACAGAACAGTGAGATGACTATATCTTACAATAATATGTTACAAACTATATAATGAAATAGAGGGGAAGAGCTGGTATTCTCCAAATTTGGAGCAAAAGTAGGGAGGTACGGATGCTGGTTGCCTGATTTGATCAGTTTACACTCTATGCATGAGCTGAAATTTTGCACTGTGCCCCATAAATTTGTACAAATATCACATGTTAATTAAAAGCTTTTAAAATGAAATAAAGAAGACTCAAATACATTCAAAAATGAAAATTCACAGGCCTCATTTCATTAGTAATGGAGAGCAACCTAGAAATCTGCATTTTTTCCAAATACAAATGGAATTTTTACAAAATTATGCCAGGTCACTCTGCTGCAGAGGGTCCTTTGAAGACACTTGATGAAACAGTGACCAAGATGATAATCTGACCCTCCTTTTTCCCTATGAAGTTTTCCTCTTTCTGTATCACTGGCCTACCTGGCCCAAAACATGCAAAGCAAGATCTTAAGTTTATGGCTTCTGAAGACCTAGCCTTATTTCCTTTGTATCCCTGCAGAGAACACAGCACACTGGTGCTAAACAAACACTTATTGAAACTGAGTGAGACAGATGTTAACCACAAGTGAAGAGTTAGTCCTGTCTTTAAATGCCTATTTATAACACACTATTTATAACACACTATTAATACCACGGATGAAAGAAACATTAATTACCTGGTTTAGGAAAAAGGTTTAAGATTAAAGCTGAATTCCCTAGAGCTTACTGTCAGTTAATCACAAAGCACCCATTAAAGCAGAGCCATTGTAGTCAGCCTTCTTCACTGAGACTCCCAGACACTGTACTGGCTGCAAACAAACACTTGATGAAATGTTTTTTACACCCCCGCTCCCTCCCACTTGCCATAGACTATTTCCTGACAATGTAGAGCAGTGATCCTCAAAAGGAAATTATACAAACTGTTTATGTTTAGACCCAAACCCATAAAACATTTCTTCAAGTGTTCGAAGGGTGGACAAAGACAAGTGGGTGCAAGTTTAGCCATGGGTCTAATAGTCTACTACTTCATAGCATTTGAAAAATATGTATAGAATGACTGTTAAGCGAATAAATCTCAAATTAAGTCACTTACCAAGAAAATGACATCCCATAATGGAAACATGTACCCAAGGAGAGAGAACACTTACCTATCTAAATAATTAACAATATTGGGGTTCTTATTTTCCCTCATGACCAGAATTTCATTAATAATTAATTCCTTTTTGGGTTGCTGTTGTAGATTCATCTGCTTTATGGCCACCTGAATGATGATTAAAATATAAGAATAAATTACAAATATCACAATAAATACAAACATTTGTCTTTCAAGGAACACAGAGTGAGGCATACAAATTCATTATCTACTAAACTCTTTCTCTGTGCCAGAAATCTAGGCTTTTTTCCTATGGTCACACGTAATTAAACCATTCACTGCAGATGCTTTGGATACTAATAAACTCCCTTCTCAACTCAGGGCTACACATTTTCTCTAGCATGGATGCCATCAAAGAGGAAACCTGACAAAAATGAATAAAGGAAAATACACATCAAGACTGAATGTTGGCACTTACTTCTTGCCCTGTTGCAATGTCCAGTGCTGTGTAAACAGTCCCTGATGCCCTGTGAAAGTGAAAATTATAAATGAATAAGCAATCAATATATTGTTGCAAACAAATGTCATGTGAAATAAAACATAATTATTCTCAGAAGAAAATCAGTGAAGTCAAGATGAAAGGATGAAGTAAAATGGGAACAACCTTTTTAACAAATTACTATTGTGGAAAGAACATTTAACATGAGATCTACCCTCTTAACAAATTTTAAGTGCACAATACTGGAACAACCATTTTATATAGTAATTGTTCCTGAAACAGTACAGTGTAGTCCTTGAGGTGGGCTAGGAGCTCCACTCAGACTTTCTGGCACCAGTTCATGGGCCATGCACTTTGCAATAATGAATGGAGCAAAATGGACTTGCTCCTTTTAGAAAACTCCCAGATGTTCTAAATATTTCTTAGATCTTGCAACAACCAACATTACAGATCTCTGCTGTAACAGAAGGGCAGTTTTCGTAAGAATATATTATCTTTTGCTTAGGCAACTTTAAACTAAGGCAACTTTAAACTAAACTTCACTTTTAGCACAGGGACTGAGCGGCTCTTTTCATATATTTCTGATTCTAAAGAATATCTTCATCTAACAAATAAATCACTCTCAGTGCCGTACTTCTATGGGAGTTACACAGAGCAGTAACAATGTGGCTTTACTGTTGAGTCATTGCTTTTTCCTTTTTGCTAAATTTCTCAACTGCTTTAGAGGTGCCGCTCTAAACCAACAACATCCTTTTAAAATCTATCCTTCCTGGGGACAGCACTGTGACATAGCAGGTAAAGCAGCCGCCTGCGGCACCTGCAGTCCATATGCATGCCGGTTTGTGTACCGACTGCTCCTCTTCTGATCCAACTCTCTGCTATGGCCTGGGAAACAGTAGAAGATGGCCCAAGTCCTTGGGCCCCTGCACCCACGTGGGAGACGCAGAAGGAGCTCCTGGCTCCTTGTTTCAGATTATCCCAGCTCCCACCATTGTAGCCATTTGGGGAGTGAACCAGTGGTTGGAAGACCTTTCTGTCTCTCCCTCTCACTGTATTTAACTCTACCTCTCAAATAAATAAATAAATCTTTAAAACAATCTATTCTTCCTTAAGTCTTGGTAGTACTCATGCTTCCATTTTCACTTAAATTATGGGGTTCCCTTGCTTTGCAAATAGAAATTGTATAGTAAAGCTGAATTCACAATAAGTTTTCTGTGAATCTTAGCGTATTCTGATACTCTTCCTAACCTTACCCCTAAGAAAAAGAAAAAAAAGTCAATTTCATTTGTGGTGAATAATATAGAATAAAGATTTTCCCTGGGATTCACCAGGCATTGTAATGCTCTAATGTTGCTGTCAAAGGTTTCTGGTAATTGTAATTTCTCCCTTGATCTCTATCCCTGTTGCTTTGTTTTCTGAGTCTAGGAATTCCTCTTTTGTGTCATGTATTCCCTTGCTGTTCCTTGTCCCTAGATGTCCCAAAATATTTCTCACAATCTAGGAAGTTCATATATTATCTGCTCTCAGGGAATAGGATGGGTATTATAGTACAAAAAATTGACTCTTAGTAGAGAACTGAGTTATAATATTTGTCCTAACTTTAATAAGTTGAATGACCTTGGGCTAGTCATTTCCCTTCACCAAGTTTCAGTCCCCTCACATGGAAAATAGTGATCATAGGGGGCATATTTGGTACAGAAGTTAAGATGCTGCTTGACACACCTGCATCACATATTAGGGTGTCTGGGTTTGAGTTCTGGTACTGCTTCCCATTCAGCTTCCTGCTAATTGGGAACCCTGGGAGGCAGCAGGTGATTTTCCCTGTACCTGGGTCCCTGCCACCCATGTCAGAGATCTAGATTGAGTTCTGGGCTCCCAGAGTTGACCTGGCCCAGCCCCAGCTGTTGTGGCATTTGGGGAATGAACCAGTGAAAGGAAGCTCTCTCTCTCTCTGTCTCTGTCTCTGACTCTGTTTCTTCACCTTTTAAATAAAATGAGAATTTAAAATGTTTTTAAAAAAGAAAATAGTGACCACAATAACATAAACATGTACTGAACACGTAGGTGTCAGAAACTGCACCAGGAACTATGTCTAATTTAACTTCTGTAATCTTTACCATATTTCTATAAGGGAGGTGCTCTTATTCCCATGTTAGAGTTGAGGATTCTGAGGCTCAGAGAGGTTAAGTAACCTGTCCAAAGTTAGACAACTTACAATCCAAACCTGTCTGACTCAGTTATTTACAAAGCACAGGAAATAGACTACTGACTTCTAATGTTCTTTCATTCTTTGATATATAATTAAAACTCTATTGCCCATTCTATTTGGGTTTTGAATATTTATTGGAATTAAGCTAAAAAGTCATAATCAATAGATGCCACCTAAACTAGTGTTTAGCAATTCTAGAGATTTCTTGTGCTTGAGGATTATGTCAAACAAATCATTCTTTCAATTTCGCATGCTTGAGATTCTGGTTTCAGAGCACATATTCATCATTGGTGTCCAATAAATATTTGTTGAATGAACAAATTAATAAAAAGCCTTTCAAGCTAACATGAAATTATAATAAGGCTTTTCCTTTCTGTGAAGAAAATATTTCATCTTCTGCTTAAATTTACATAACATACTTCTGTCTTGTAATAAGCTATTAGACACTGCTTACATCAGGCACTAGGGTATGATTTGCCCCTCTGAACTCAGAATTATCTTGACTTCAAAGGAACAGACCACCTTGACATGGCGTGTCTTTCAGCTGCAATAAGCCCTGAGCAACTACTTAAATCCAATGGCAATAAATGCCTTTAAAAAGGCCTTTACTTAGTTTATTCCTATATATTTAGGATACTTACACAATTCCTTCAGGTGCAACAGAGTGACAGTATCTGCAAAATGAGATAACAATGGTACCTAGCTCACTGGATTACAAAGAACCAAATGGCACAATCTATGTAAGCATTTAGCCCAGACCATAGTTGATGTGTAATATGGTAACTGCTATTATTATCGTCTGTTGCTGCTGCTCTTGTTACCAGTTTCACAGAAAGGGAGATTGTTTCACTGAACTGTTAGTTGGCCCCACCCAATCTTCCAGCCACAGCATCTTTGCTAACATTTGTCCCTATTTCCTAAAAGGACTGAGGCTAAGAATGACCCTATTGGAACATTTTTAGAGGCTTCATGTTCTTCATTCCCCTAGGAAAGTGTTTTTTTAAGCTTAGAAAACCTTAATCAAATAAAACCATATGCAAAAAGCCTCCATATATAAAACAATTTTTTTTTTCATTTTATTTGAAAGACAGACACAGCAACAGAGAGAGACAGTGAGCTTTCATTTGCTGGTTCTACTCCACAAATGTCTGCAGTGGCCAGGAGCCTGGAACTCAAGCTAAGTCTCCCACAAGGATGACAGGGACCCAAGAAACTTGAACTGTCACCTCCTTCCTCCTAGGGTGTGCATTAGCAGGAAACTGGATAGGAAGCAGAGGGCATGCTTGAACTCAGGCACTCCAATATTGGATACAGGCTTCCCAAGCAGCATCTTAACCACTGCATCAAACATATGCCCCTGAAAGAAATAAACCTGGAGCTGCTCCAGCTAAAGCTAGGGAGGAAGGCCCAATATGCCCATCCAGGTGATCTTTCCCATATTTACCCCATCCACCCCTAGCCCAGATCCTGAGCTCATTTCCAGTGTCCTAGAGACTAGCATTTTGAATGACTTGGCATGCAAGGGGGATTATGATTTAATGTCTCTGGAATTTTACCTTTCAAATCATTGAGTTTTCTGTCCAACCCCTCCCCCCCAGCATCTTATTGTCTTAAAATTGCTAGAATACCAATATCCTAGGTTGTATGGCATTCAGTATCACAGAATTGCCATAAGTTTCCAAGTTCGCAGAGTTTTAAACATCTTGAAACTCTAGAGCTATTATTAACTAAAAATTAGCTTTTCTGTCGTTTCTCCTTTCCTCTTCTTTTTGCATATTTGCAATTGTCTAGTGGGAGCCACTTTTCCTTCCTCCCCACCCTTGCTCCCTGTTCATTCCCTATCCCACTTAACACCCCTGGCCAAACCAAACATATTTTTAGGAAGTTGGACTTCATTGCTCTGACCAACAAGGTACTGATTTACCCAAATTTCAACATTTGTTGAACCCACAATTTAAGTGCACAAACTTGGGGTACTCACAGAGTAAAACCTACCACCTTATCCACAACTACCTTACCACGACTAATATTTCTCCTCTCCCCAGTTCTGATGTCTTTCCATGTTCAACAATTTAAGCTTCAACTGGTATAAATGTGGACTTTTCCTTCAATGTTTCCACATCTCCAATATTCATCTATTAAAGTGCTCTCATCAACAGCAGTGTTCATTTCCATTCACTCAAACCTCCTCCCCTAATTAAAATTCTACTGGTGGTTACTGGGCAAGTAACTTAATCTCTCTGTGGCTCAAGATTAAAGGAAGATTAAATGTATATGGTGCTTACAATATGTACAGTCATAGCATCTAGTAATTACCCAATAAATATTAGCAATAATGATAATTATCATTACTTGGTTGATTCTTAATATAGTCATTAGGTTTCCAAATTGTAGTCTGTGTATAACTAGGAAGTTCTTTAAAAATCTGGGGGTTTTCAAGATATTTAATATTTTAAAATTCATAAGAGAAATTTGACATTTACCTAAGAAAGATAACTCAAATATCACATTTATTTACTTTTAGTTAGAATTATATTAACTTTGTGATAATGGATATTACATGCTAATTAAGAGCTGTAAATAGCAGTTAAATATATTTTTGCTTTGTAAAGTATAAGAAGTAAATTCTTAACACAGCTTAAAAATAAAAATTATTTATAACATGACACTTACAAAGCCAAATAGTTGAAGTGGTCCTTGGTCATGAAGGTGAGAAGCTCTTGCCTTGTATTCATTAAAGCACAGTAGTGTATACACACTCTCAAAGAAAAAGCCAACCATATGTCACACTGATTTTTAATAGAGCTTTGCAACAGGCT